CCCCAGCCCCAGCCCCAGCCCTAGCCCCCGTGAGGTTGTAACCAAGGGGGGAAAGGGGCGGGGCTTCTGGGGTGGGAAGGAGGGACTTGGGTCACAGGAGTCAGGGGCGGGGCGGAGACGAAGCCAGGCCCCCTGAGCCACTCCCTACACACACATCAGGTCTGACGGGTCCAGCAGGCCCGGCGGAAAGCAGAAGGGACTTTGACTCTGTTCCTTCCTTTCCCTCTCCCCCTGCGGGCAGCGGCATAACCGGTTCTGAGAGTGGATAATTCCCAGCCCCGCCCAATACACAGACTGTGTCCAAAGCTTGGGACTGGGGCCTTGGACTCCTGTGTAGAGAAGAGGGACTGAGGGCCCTGGGACTTGGGAGAGGAGGCAGCTGGGAGCCTGTACTCTTGGGTGTTTGAAGTGGTGCATCTGGTATTTTCAGACAGGTGAACCCCAGCACTCAGAGGCCAGGAAAATGCTTCTAAGAGGGTAGGCCAGCCTTAGGCCAAAACCTAACATGTTATCTAAAACCCACAACCCACGCAGACGCTGCAGCACAAGGATGTTGTAGGGAGGCGGCTCTAGAGCCTTAAATTCACTGAGAAGGAAATGAAGCAGCAAGGCTGGGCGAAGACTCTAGAAAGCTACTGGCATAAAGACAGTACAGTGCAGAAAGGATGTGCACCTCCACATTTACAGTGTGCTTGAAGTAAGAACTGCTCATAAGGCTAAGTAGAGAGGCATATTCTAGAACTGAGGTCTGGAGCTTATGACCTAGAACCTGCCAAGAGCAACCCCAGAACCCCAGATACAGAAGGGAGCATCGTGATACCTAAGAACTACCTAATGCAATACATAGTGAACCAAGTCAGGAGAAAATATCCAGAATTCAGAACACAAACAGGGATGAATGTATAACACAGAATATTGCAGGGGCCACATTCTTGGTTGTATCATGTGTCTAGATAATGCTAACACTCAGAAGGCTCTAGAACTCAGAACATGCCCTGAAGGGGAAGAAAAGTCCAGGAAGTAGCAAGGAGTTTGCCTGGAACCTAAAAATATCTGGAGGGAAATGCAAAAAAGATGCATGTCGAGAATTGAGAATTTTCCGTAATAAAGACTGAGCTGGCAAAGGAAGGGGGTTCTTCTGGAATGAGAACATTTCTAGGCTGAAGACTCCAGAACTCCAGAAAAGGAGAGAGCTTTGAGCATGCTCTGAATGCCAAAGTGGCAGATGGAGGAGAAAGCCCACAATCCACCAGGGGACAAGTTCTAAACTAAGGCTGCACTTGGGAAAACGCAGACAGAGAATGATTGGGCCTAGAACCTAGAACCCGAGGAAGGAAAATATGATGTAGAATATCTCATTAAATCTTCTAAATCTAAGAATGTGAAATTATATGGAACCTAAAACAGGGAAGTGCACTGCAGAATTGATAGCACAAATTGAAGGAAACATAGAGCACATACTTGGAACACACATATTTTTAGAAGTTAGAATGCCCCTGGAAAGAAAGCGCAATCTAGAACAACAGAACCTAGAACCCACCCACAATGAAAATTTAGGAGAGAATAAACAATAACTGATTGCTAGGAATTTGGAATATGACTGAGGAGAGGATGAGATCAGAATTTGGTTTGGGGGTATTAGCTAGATATTTGAAAAGACAATGGGAAAAGACATGCCTAGATCTAGACTCTAACTAGAACTTAGGTCTATAATCTAGAACTCAACCCATGTCTTGCATGAAGATGGAATACAGAAGTCACCTGGGAGTGCTCTAGTGTTTAGAAGGAATCTAGAACGTGGAGCAATGCGTGTGGAAGACAGTGGGTAGGTTCTAGATTGCCTAGTGAGTCTAGAACACAGAACACCATCTGGAGGAAGTGATGTGTGTTTGGCTCATGGGCCTGAGAGAGTGTACTTGGAGAACGGGACCGCATGATATGGGCCTCAGGGGGCAATGGAGTACTGGAAGCATCTCAAGAAATTGGGTCTTAGGGGAGAGAGTAGAAAGGAGAGCCTCGAAGACTAGCCCCTGAGAGGTTATGAGGATGAGGCAGGAGGTTAAGGCCACAGGAGATGTGAAGTTAATGTGGGGAGTCATGAGATTGTGAGGACCTGGGTCGCTGAAAGTGAGAGTTGGAGAGCTAGATACCTGGTGGGGAGGGGGCCGGGGCTGGGGGCCTGAATCCCCCTGGGGGCCTGAATCCCCCCCCCTGAATTGGAGCTAAGAAGCTGAGTCCTTTGGAGGAAGGACTGGGGCAGACCGCCTTGGTAAAGACTGGTGGGCAGTATCAACGCTCAGGTCCTGCACTCCAGGGCCCCTGAGGGGATGCGAGATGAGGACAAGCCGTCTAGGTCTCTAGGGAGGAGGGTGGACAGAAGTCAAAGAATTGCATTAAGAATTGCATTCCGGTTCCCTGACAGAAAGCGAGTCATGGCGCCTGAGTCCCTAAAGGAGCAGGTGCTGGGTGCCAGCAGGCTGGGTGTATGTGTCGGAGGGGCACGGGGGCTGTTGAACCGGGTTCTAAAAGGGGGCGAAGGCTGGGAAACCGGATTCCTGGGTCCTGACAGGCGAGGGCTGTCAGCCGGGGCGGCAGACTGAGTAAGCACGGACAGGCTGCCAGACCGGGGTGGGAGCCGGGGCCCCGGTGCCAAGGTCCCTAGGTCCCTATGGTAGGCAGGACAGGAAAACCCAGAAGCCTCGGCTTCTCAGGGAGGCGCTGGAAGTCCCAGGAACCTGGGGTGCGAGGCCGGAGAGCCCCGAGGCCGGGGCGCCCGGGTCGGGGAGGGGCCGGGTATCCCCGGGTCAAAGGCGCGGCGGGGGGATCCCCGCGTCGCCC